TCATGCAAGAAACTGTGAAGAGTGGAAGATGGGCATTCGTTGGCTGGGTCGATGAAAAGACCTTAGAATGATTTGTGTCTAATGTCGCACAAACTCGAATATCTACAGGCGAAGACTAACAAGTTGACAGAAGAGGCGAGATAGCGAAGACGGGACTTCAAGTGAATGTAGAGAAGACGGGAGTTTTGAAGATACCCAACCAACAACAGCATCAGCACCAAGGACCAGTAACCATTGAAGGGTGGAACCTAAAAAAAGTGGTCTCTTTCATATACCTAGGCAGCATTGGTTCAACTACAGGCGGGACAGATGAGGACTTCAAAGCCAGGATCGGAAAAGTGAGACAGGCCTTCATGAATCTGAAACCAGTGTGGAGATCTGCTGCACTCAGCATCAAGAACGAGATCACGATTTTCAACACTAATTCAGTCAAGTCAGTGCTTCCATGTGATGGTTGAGAGACTTGGCGCGTTACGAAAAGAATTTCCAAGAAACTGCAGACATGCATCATCAGGTGCCACCTACGCTCATTCGATACTGAAGATGAAATGAGCAGAGAGAATAAGCAACAAGAAACTGTGGCTGGTAACCAACCAACCAAAAACCTGTCACCCAACAAATATACAGAAGAAAGTGGAGATGAATTGGACATACACTGACAAGACCGAGTGAGGACATCACGTGCGAGGTCAGTTTCTTGATTGGAACCCGCGTGGGTAACGACGAGTTGGGCGTCTTAGCTGAGGGTGACATGGAGGAGGTCGTGTGTGGAAGCAATGAAAACTTCTGGGCATTCGTAAAGCCAGGTTCAAAAGACGTGTTACTGGAGCCCCATGTTTCACTAGGAACCTAAAGGACAAATAATAATGAAATAGGGGACATAAACCCCCTCTAGGTTACTAATAAGTTCTACTAACCAATGTCAACAAACATTAAACCTAGGTCGAAGGAAACTTCCAGCCAACTGCCTCCAACTATCAAATAAGAACAGACCTTTTACGGTTGTCTTTAAAGTTTCTGTACGGGTCATAAAATAGTTTTTGTTAAGCTACATTTTACTTTCGACAAAAGTTTATAACATGCTGATTCTGTGCCAGTTGAGCAGTTTCGTTTTCAAATAATGGAACAATAATGTGAAGACACAGGAATGCTTCTAAAGTCATGGGCGTTGTATGTATGTTTGTAGTGTAATGCATACACCTATTTGTCAACCGACTAGTTAGGTATGAAGTATTGTTTAGGGGGAAATAATGAAGATCTTCGGAACTCATCGATTCTCACTTCATTAATTTGAAGACAATATGGAAAAAGAATTTTTCTCAATAAATTTTCACTAGGTTCTACGGTCATTAATTAGAATTTTATAATGTAAAAGCAAACCAAGTTTCAAGCAAATACTTTTTCAGCAGAGAATGGGAGTTATGGACTGTAAGCAGATGGAATTTTCTTGTTAAGTATTTCAGTGTTACGATGAATTATGTGTACATAAGGAATGTTATGAAAAATGGAAAAAATAAAACGGAACACAAACGAAGCTTATCGAAAACCTAGGGAGCAGTAACTTGTAAAAGTATCCCTTCTGAATGCAAGGTGTGGGTGTAATCCATCTTATTGTCACACCTTCAGATACTTGGTGAAGAAGTTGGTGAGCCTCATGAAGTGTTGCTTTCGGAACACCCCGCATGACTGTAAGACCTGCATTAGCATCTGTATGGTCATCTGAGTCTATCACGTGTGCCAAGATGATAAATCTTATCTCTTTGACTTCAGTTTTTTCATAGCGAGCTAGGAAATGTTCATGTGTATGAAAATACATCTGTCTAATCATACTCCTCAGGTAATTTGTTCCTGAGGAAGAATTAAATTGATACATGTAAGATGAGGAGATAACATATGGTAAGGCATCTATCAGTTCGGTTTAAGCATTGGACACCCACGAAAAGGTAATCATGTTTGACCTGAGTAAAACGTTTTACTTACTGTGATAAAATGTCACTTGGATTGTCTCCGTTGAATTGCTCGAATAGCCAAGCTGCAGCATCTCTAACTGGAGCAGTGGATGATGTCAGTTTGAATCTCAGGAGGGATTTTAGTTCTCTTAAGGTTGTAGACACAGTTTATGGATATGTACCAACAAGCACAAAACCTAGGCCTATGCTTCTTCCAATTAACTAACAGATTTGGTTTTGTAAATATGAGAATTTTAAGCAAAAATTAGTTTGTACATGAGCTCACCTCGATGACATTGTTCTAGTCATGTACAGAAAGCATGGCATAATTCCACCGTCTTGTAAGATTCGTTCCAAGCTACGATACGTAGTTTCTCAGTAGAATCAAATCAAAAATGAATTCGGCTTTACTATTACACGGTTATAAATGCATGAATTGGTCACTAGGGTGCAAACAAATCCATGTTAATTAGTCATGAAGAGGAAAATCCTCTTCCATTTGAATGTTGTCCAACCTTTACTTCATTTCATATGAGTTGGTTAGTCTTGATTTTCAGTGGTTTATGACAGGGCATAACATCAATGCTAAATGTGAAGCTGGTTCATATGGTGAGATGTCTCTAAAGTCAGCTGCCAATCCAATGGGATAAAATGAATAGCAAACCTTATTAGCATCATACATTCTACTAGGATTGATTGCGTAAGGCACTGAAGTGGACAATTTTGACTCACACAGGGACGGCTTCATTCATTACGCTACATCATCTGTAGACCTCTTAATCTTATTCATGAATCTCTGAAGGTTTCTGAATTTCTTCATATGGATCCATTTGGATGAGTTTAATGAACATCAAGAGGTAATTAGATCAGTTCATGAGTACAGTTGAACTTCCTTTATCACCTTTAGCAATTACAAGACTGTTTCCATTCAACTTCTTCAGAGCTAGTAATTCCGGTTTTCATAGCGGTATTCATCATGGACTAACACCACTTGGAGGGTCATTGGAAACCCTGAAGCACTAAACAACTGTTTCGTCCTAGTACGAGACTCATCAGCAGTGTGTACGAATGACTCCACCAGTGGTGTCACCAAAGTCCTTCAATCTCACCCCAAGAGTGTTGCCATTTAGCCACTGGATTGAAATTCAATGGTTCACAGTATCCCACTTTTGTCGAGTCCAGATATAGCACAGGTATCATCAAATGACATCGAGGCTTATTTGTCCCCACAAACAACCTAATCAACCCCACAGTTTACGGCTTTCCATTAGAATCTCAGGAAGTCCATCTCAAAGAATGCCACTAATGAACATTGGCAACGTGCTTACCATGAGATTGGTAGGCACTGCTTACGGTCTCTGAGGGGGTCGCGGATGCTCATTCCTGAGGAGTCCCCAACTGGAACGAAACTAATGTTCGGTACTCTCAGGTCTTCAGTGGTTCGCTAACTGCTTTTAGAACACGTCAGCAGGCTGTGTTCACGCAATTTTAAAGTGTAATCAGTGCTACCGACTTCACTGAATAAGACAGATACTATATGTTCTTTATTAATAACAGGCATAAAATCTAGATTGAGAACAATTTTCTATAAACTGCTTCAAATAGTATGATGTCAAGCAAATTGCACTTCAGAAATTGGTAAATAAATCTCAAAAGTGGCCAATACATTTTATTAAGCAACTAAGAATGGGTAATATGACAATGGGGATATCACTGAATTTCCAGTGTTCGGCGTGCTATTTCAGCGAACTGGTTTATATGTAGATATAGGTAGCCTCTATAAAGACCAATGCAGACTGAAGTCGATCATTTATAACTACTTGCAAAATCTTCTGGGATTAGAATGAAGCCAAGTCCTGGACAAAATATTCATCTCACAGCTTAGCTGGTAGGGTGCCAGTCCATAATCAATTTAAACCATCCTCCTCTGTCTACTTGTATCGATTAGTAACATAATATGTACAATTCTTATTCTCTGAATCCGAATATCAATAACGGTATAAATTATTTCATATTGGAGTTCGTACATTTTTATTTTTATGGAAAGCTAAGCTTTAATTTACAACTAAGTCTCATGTGATTCCCATTACGCAAATGCTCGAATTGACTCTGGTAATTGAATAGTTTACAGTGTGATGAAAGTAATTAAACTGCTGGGTTAGTAAGTGAAAGTATTAGATAAAAAACAAAAACAATTTATCTCCAATAGGAATTCAATACTTAGACTTTGTAGTCAAAACAAACAATAGGTAAACGCAATGACACCACATATCATTAGAAACCTAAATGTAGACTTGCTGAAATGTTAACAAAGAATATCCTTATCACTTCAGTCTGACACTGTAGAGACATTAAAGTATCTTGGTGTGAAATAGTTGAGTTACATTTCATTCTGGCTAGTTTAAGAAAAAACAATAAATATGTATGTTAAAAATAGTCATTAGTTCATGTAAGCTCTCTTTAAGATTTGTCATATCATGTGAGCGTTTCAGTGTAAATATGGACATGATTTCCTTGGGAATTTACAGGTTAATTGATATTTAAAGGTGTGTTTTATCGAAATGGATATACTTTGTCACAACGTGATATAACACAGATGAATCTACACATAATCATCGTCTTAATCATCCTGTAGCACTTCGTTATTATTTTATGTCTTCTTCCAGTCTTCTAATGATTTTCTATGACTTTTGACTACACTCTCCCCTATCTTTCATCCTAGTGCCTTCTTCCTTAATGTTCTGGTATACGGTAAGTTAACTTCGACTGTTACGCAGTGATGGTATATCTCATGTTGATTTTGACTGACTAGCTGACTAAATGAGTGTAGAAAAAGGTCGAAAAAGGGTAACTGGTTCACTTGAATGGTTCACTGACAGAACATTTGCGCATTCGTTACCAGCGACAGTCATCAAGCCACTGAGTAGATTTTCAGTTCGGGAAACTTATGAACTGTCTTTTGTTTGTGTAAAGGAATACAACGCAGCTTGCATTTATTGGTTATTAATTTCGCACCATCGTTTTGTTCTGCCTTTTTATTCAATCATCTAGACAATGTTCAAATTGAAAGACAAGTACAAGTTGTCGGTCATAACTTTCAAGTACACAGTTATCAGTCACCTCATTTTTGTGATTATTGTGGGGAATTACTATTTGGTTTGGTACGTCAAGGTTTACGCTGTACGGGTAAGTATCATATTGCCATTATCATAAATAAATAAACTTGTTTGATTGGTTTAATTTCATTACCTTCTTAAGTCTTATATACAGATTATTAAATTTATCCTAGTTAATCTTCGTTATAGGGAATTGAATACTAGATCCTATGTGTTTAACTACACTAACGACTAACACAACTCGTCGTTAAACGCAATCGAACAACTAATATGAGTTTTCTCCTGTTACATTATAATGACCATACGTTTAGCTACTTCCACTGAAATTCATTGCTATAGTTCGTTAGTTCATGATATTTGTGCATGAATAGTTCATGTCTGTAATACATTAGAGAAAACAAGAAGTTCAGTAGAGATAGATTTTCCAGAAACTTCATTCTCCATAGTTGTACAATCTCAATATATGCATTTTTATTCCACTTTATTAGATAGTTACAAGCACTAATTAATTTGAACTGGTGACAAAGGTCAAGTTGAGTGAAGAGCAAAAAATTCAAAAGTGTGATGTAAAGTGAAAACTAATCATCGAAGGGCATCGAAACCAACATCATCAAATGGTGGACAGAATATGAAGTTGCATAATATGTAAACAATAATTTTCAAGACAAAGCATGAACAAAGATAGCGTTGAAACAAAACGAAGACAATGTTGGATTATTAAAATATATCATAAAATATAACAAAACTGTGAATATTGAGAGAGAGAGAGAGAGAGAGAGAGAGAGAAGGCGGTCGATGTTTGTTAGCATTATTTGTTAGCAAAATAAAATCCACCCGTCTACCTACAAGATACTTAGTCATATACTGGAAAACGTTTAGCGATAGACCTATTGGTCTATTGGTTTCAAAATCTCTTCATGTGGATTATATTGACCTGTTTAGAAAGAATAATTTAATACATAACAATGACTGCGACATCGAATACACAAGTCAAACTAACTGATAGAGGTTAGTCAAGTTAAAAGAATATGAGAACCCAAATAGTTGCATAATGATAGACCTTACCAATATGAACATGAATATGAATTCAAACATGGCTATACATGTGGTAGTATACAACCACAAAATTGGGTGGGGAAGCGTTATAGTTCTGAAAGCCAATGTAGTTGGTTGGAGGTAGAGATTGATCTACTGAATCTATGTTCGTCAATTCAAGAGCGACTTTTAAGTCCACCCTAACAAATGCTGAGACAAGCAGTTAAATTCCTCTATTCTATGAAAAACTACCCCCTTCAGTCATAATTCTTAAGTTTGATTGGTGAACTTAGCGGTTGCTAGGGTGACCTTTAAAGTAACTCTCAGTTCAACGCGTTACAAACGTGATCGAAATAACGCGACATCAACTTCAGATGTGTTTAAATTCTATTACCAAATAAATCAAAGAATGTGATACAATGGAATGATAAGAACTAAGTGGAAAATTTGTGACTCTACCTTGATATGACTTTGAACAATAAGTTCTACTCAAAAGGTCATCTAGTAAATAATACTATATTACTGTGTGCTACATCATATGGACTAATCTAATCAGGAATAATATTCTACGGCATTGCGTTAATTCTGTGCTTAATTGACCGTTTCAGACTGTTTTTTATCCAGTTATTTTCAAGTAAACTCAATACTACTTGATACGTTCACAGCATTTCACAGTATCGTCTAAAAATTAGCATCTACACTTTTTCTTCCATTTATTATGAAACCAGTTATGTTAAATTTTCAGTTAGCGGGGATGAAAAATTGTGTCTTTTGTGCTCACATTTTGTAATGGTAAACATGAATCGACAATTATGAGAATCAAACCGTCTAAGCTAGTAATTCATACTTGGCTAGTTCATGCTTGCTTAGTTGTCAGTAGAAGAGAATCTTATCTCAAGTTTCTATCCACAACAGTCTTGACCCACAGTTATTGGCTTTTCTCCTCTGTATTACTGAATGGTGATGCTTATATGTAACCACTATGTATGTGCTGTGATTCTGTTCAACACAGATAATATAAATCTGTATTGGTTAGTCCATGAGCAGTAAGCAATGTCATTGAGTTAAGTGCTAAGTTCATGTTTAAGTGTATTGATCTAGTTTGTAACACTACTACTGAACAGAGAAATCCACCATTGCAGAATGCTTCAATTTATGTTTGATTGGTCAAAGGATCTTGACTGTTAGCCAACATCTTAGGTTGTACATTTTTCTGCATTCACTAACAAGGTGTCTCAAGTTCCCAGATACTTCAGACACTCGTTTCCCATGAGTGCCAAAAAGCATTAAAAACAGTGTCTACTGACTGGTTTCAACCAATAAACAGTTAAATCTGTTTACAACTTATCAAACGTACGGAATATCTATTTTCAAGAAAGACTAGTAATCTTGCTTGGTTGATATTCTACTATCAATTGACACTCAGAAAGAGATGTAGTAAAATTGTGAATATGATGAGATGGTAGCGAATTTCTTTATACGCTTAAATTCAGACTTCTTATCACGATCCATATGGCTCTGAGAGCTATTCCTGTGTTGCGAAGAAATATTCATTTCTACATACCTTGTGTAATTAGTCTTCAGGAGTTTTAATGAATTAGCTAATTCATTCGATTCCTTTGTCTGAACAACAATACAAGTGTATGACTTGATGAATATGTTTTGTTTTCTTGTTAACCTAATAATGGGAATTTTCCCTCATCTGCTGTTCAAGATTTGTATTTTGCTTTCTTTTCATGTACCCAAAACGTTTTGTTGAACAAAATAAAAGTCACTAATATGTTAACATTGAGAAAACCTAATTAGCCTACCATGTATGAAATTCTTACTAAGTTTTTTGCCTATCCGACATACTTCTAAGTGAATGTAGACAAGCAAAATCAGTTAGGTATTTGAAATAGAACCGAAACCTAGTCAACAACTTTGTGCACGTACATGTAGTAGACAATAAGTCATGTCTATTGCATGACGGCTAGTGATACCACCTGGTTGCCCAAATTTCAGTAGACGGAGCTTCACCGGACCCGTGACTCATCAGTTAAAAGTCTAGTTTCAGATTTAATTTATTTATTTGATAAAAACTACATAGTGATACAGTAATATCTACTTGATGATACTTCGAGCATAAGTTATTGCTCAGTATTATGTCAATGTCGATATCTAATTTATACAGTCCTGTTACTTGATATTCTTCTCTTTTATTGGTAGTGAAATTTTCCATATCTCTGGTATAGGTGTTGCGTCATTTCTATTATATGTGTTGATTCGATCAACAAAGCTTCAGTAATAAATCTCTCTCCCCACCTAATTATAATGGAAGTCTAGTACCTACACGGATCCAGTAAACAATTCTACTTGACTGTGTTAAGACGTATATATAAAAGAATTATAGTGAAATCCCACTGAACTCGTTTAATAAATGACAATGCAGTGAAGATTTTCTCTTTTACTAATTATATTCGTACTTATAGTTACCACGAAAATATGTTTATCAATGACTAATGTGTCAACATAGTTATTAGAAATTGTTGCTACAACTTCAAGGTGATTATAGCCAGAAGGTATGAGCGAGGTCATCAAAAGTTGTTTATAGGATTATAAATTAATGAGTAAAAGATGAATATAAGGCATAGTGGGTCTGTCCTTTGAAAGCAGCGATTGCAGAGTAAGGGAAGAGGGTAAAAATAGTAATACTGATAAATAAAATGAAATAAATAAATAAACGAATAAGAAATCAATAAGTCAATAACTAAAGATAAAATTAGAGATTGAACGTACCTCCCTTTATAGTCTGTTTATTAGCTATGCCACACAGTGAAACAGTATTATCAACTGGATAATATTTTGCACCTAATTTATTGTCCACATTCGTAGTTTATGTAGTTCTAATTCTCTGTCTTTTTTGTGATCAAAGTTGTAGAGTTACCTGATATGAAACTATAACCGAAGCGTTATCCAGTTAATAATACTGTTTCATTGTGACATATTTAATAAGCAAATTAGAATAGGATTGCAATATGTTATAATGTCTAAGTTTTACTGCTATATTAAACGTACATTCTTTGAACGCAAAGATAAGTCCTTAACTGATGAATTGCCAAGGCTCCTGTTATGTTCAGGTGGCGTGTTTGCACTCCCTTGAATGTTTTTCACTTGGCTTCATAAATGACTTTTAAGGAAGATTCTTGTGGAGCAGAATGACCAGCATTAACCAGAAGCTCAAGAATCGAGTGTTAATCACCTTGCACTCTCCTTTATGTGGCCAAGTACGATGGTATACGGGTATGCGCTCAGAAGATAGAACAAGCTGTATGGGACGTGTACAACCAGCTCTACAAGGGCAAGTGAGTTATTCAAAAACACAGAGAGGTGGCCCAAAGCGATTGTTTATCCTTTAAACACCCTCGAATCAGCTGTTAACTGAAGAGAACAGTCTGAAGTTGGGGGGGGGAAAGAAGGTCTTCTTCAGTGCTTCACACAATCGACTCTTGATTATCTCTGCACTGTATCTTCTTTAAATCCAATGTTCATAAATAGTCTCATTTTAGAACATAGGAGTTCGTTACTGGTAATGTTTAGACTTCATGTTCCCTTCAATGAGCTTTGAAGGTTAACCATTCCCTATAAGCACTCTTCGCATTGCTTCCAGCCTTTCAGCTATTGCATCATCTGCACAATATTTCCTAATTGTCGGGCGTAGGGAATAAATTAGACTTCTTTGCCTACTTAGTGGAACCCAAATTTGAAAATAAGTGTACTGTCCAATCAAGGTTCGTTGCCTGTGAATCTGTCTTCTTAGGGAACCACTATGTCTTCTTCTCAACAGAATGTGCAGGAAGTGAAATCCCGAGTTATTTACAGTTTTCATGGTAAAGTTGAGTCGTGATATTCGTTGGACCTCTGATAAACTTCACTATAAAATCTGAATTCTGGATTGAAGGTGCATTATTAGAACAATTTCTTTGAAGAATGTTTAGGAATTCTAATTTCAATTTTGGTGATCTCAATATAATCATACACAAAGCAGATTGTTGC